CACAGAGAAATCCTGTTTCGAAAAACCAAAGAGAAAGTAAGTTAGGATGGCATCCCACACTTGTAATACCAGCACTTGAGAAATAGAGGCAGGAGAGTCAAGAGTTCAAAGTCATTCTCAGGTACATAGCAAGTTCAAGGCCACCCAGGGCTTCAGGAGACCTACTATAACTCAATCAATCAATCGATAGCCAGGCATGGTGCCGTTCGCCGGTAATCTCAACATGGAGAAGGTTGAAGCATGAGGACGGTAACAAACCAAATAAGATAATAATGGAATAATGGCACATGGGCGATTGAAGTTGAAGGTGTTGAGTTCCAGGTATCCCAGCTACGTAAAATTAAATGGAATTGCAGATGTGGTATCTCTCTCTTTTGTGCAGCTTCCTCCTCCCCAGTGTTAAGGCTTGGCAACAACTGTATGGGCAGTTATTTGCTGATTCATAAGGAGCACACCAACTCTTGTGTGATAAGGATGTAGTACTTTTGCAGAGATAATCTCTGGGGTTAGTAAATGTGTATGTGTGTGTGTGTGTGTGTGTGTTTAGTATAGCCCTCCCTTGGTGTCCATGAAGATTGGTTCCAGGACCCCTCTCAAACATCAAAATACACAGATGCTGCAGTCTTTTACATGGAATAGCAGAGTATTTACCCATGACCTCCATCCTTCCTTCCTTCCTGCATGTCCTCAGGGACCTCGACATCACTTCTAATGCCGATTACAATGTAAGTGCTAAGCAAGTCGTTTTGGGTTATATTGTTTGGAGAACAAGACATGAACAGGTCTACATAGTTCAGGCGTGGTGACTGAAATTTACTTTATATTGGTAGTTGTTACGTGCTGCTCAAGCGTACTGAAAGGGGGCTCTGGAAATAAAGAGGGCCCTCCTCTCAACGTGCAACACGTTTACGTCAAGTGTTCTCCAAAATATCTTCTTCAGTAGGCTGGCCCCCTAGCTCTGACAGGGAGGGAAGTTAGCAGTAAAACCCCTGAGTTAAGAGCTGAGGGGTGGCACAAGCCTTTATAATCCCAGCACTCAGGAAGCAGAGGCAGGGGGATCTCTGTGAGTTCAAGCCCAACACCCCCCCCCCCCACCCG